TCATGTTCATATGTGCACGCTAAAACTTATCATTTACAATGCCTCTCAGTCGCTGAGATTATCTTTTGGCATTTACTTAATGAAAACTCTAATATTTCATTAAACTATTTTTGAATAATAAAATTAGTTTCTTTATAGTCCAATAGATGGTGTTTTTTTTTTTTTTCTGGTGAGCGGGGTCACCTTCAGCACACAGTCAAATAAAAATGGTGGCATTAGAGTAAGATACATACAACATTTCTGACAGGTTTTTATTAACCAGTTGGTTAGCATTGAAATCCCAGGTTGCATTGCATCAATAAAACTGAAGTCAGATAAAAAAAAAGCTGAGAAATGTTTAATAAAACCAATGTTGCTAAAGATTTCGAATTGGCATAAGATATAAATTGCAGTAAATAGCAGAATTTCACAATGTTGAAGGCACAATAATATTGTATCATGACGCCAAGCATCATGATAATATTATACTGTGGTGACTCTGGTCATTCATATCCCTTGTATTTATATGTGGGATCCTCAAATATTGTTTGTGAGACTCGTTGGTGTCAGTATTTACATGATAATCATGACAAAAAGTACATCAAATTACAGTGAAACACAACACAACACAAAAAATGCAGCTTTTAACAGCTAGTCAGTGATTAAGCCTGTACACGGACACTAAATGTCAGCATTTCAGTAATGTACGCATCCCTTTCTAATGGGCATGAAGAAGCTTTTCAAAGTTTTGCAAAGTAACCTGAAGTGCAACCGTACAGTGGCCAAAAAGAGTTTCGAAAATAACTTTTGGATTGATATCCTTTGCAAACTCAGAGATGTGAATTCTGATTGCAATTAAATCACCACACAACCTTGGTGTTTGTCAAAAACCCAATCTGTAATTTGTGAGAGAAAACACTGGAATTCTGTATTCAGAAGGCTCTAAAATCACCAACCACCCCCTTTGTAAGTGATGAAAACCTCTTGGAAACCTGGGAAACCATTAGGCTTTAGTCTGATAGTTTAGTTGATTTGTTTTTTTTTTTTACAGTGGAGTGTTTCTGTTTACGGATCTGTTCCAAAATCTGCTGACCTCCCTAAATCAAGAGCATTAGAAGACTCCATATGCATAATGATTGCTTTTTAAGATTCCCAATTTCGTATCCTGCCATAAATATGCAATCCAAACAGTAATGAGCTCAAAATGAAAGCATACGCCGGGAAAGTCCAAGACAAACATCCACTCTACTATCAATCTAATAGCAAAAAACACTATTTAAACTATAGTGCTATGTCAGTAATACTACTTATTATCATTTTCTGGAGCTCTAACATAAGAGAACAACAACAGCAACGCCAAGGTCATGGGTTTGATTCCTAGAGAACATTAAGCTGCTTTGAATAAAAAACATCTAAAAGCATTATTTTGTTTATAATATATATATATATATATATATATATATATATATATATATATACAATAAAAGACATTATTGTTGAATAAACACATTAAAACGAAGGGATTCGTTTAGCTGTGCATTTATGGAATGAGCACTGTTCTATGTCCAACAGATTACTATTATGTCTTTCATTTTCATTCCTTTAAAACTTATTCCTTTAAAAATGTTTTAACACATTTTAATTTGTTTGTAATTATTATAATTATTCTTTGTTTTATTTTCTTATACTTGTATTTTATGTTTTTTTTATGTAAAGCATTTACAATTAGGGCCGGGTGATACATCGAATATTAGCGATAATATCGAAATAATTTTGACGACGATGTAAGATTTTGAAATATTGTGCTCAAATATTATACTCCAAAAGAATGCACCGAGCGGCCCCCTTTACCACATTACCGTTATACCGTTTCTAATGTGTAAAATCATTTATTTACTTTTTGTTTTTTAGGACAACAGTGTTTTAAAATGTTTAAAGTGACATTTAAAGGCTTAACTAGGTTAACTAGGCAGGTTAGGGTAATTAGGCAAGTTATTGTATAATAATGGTTTGTTCTGTAAACTATTGAAAATAAATAAAGCTTAAAGGGGCTAATAGTTTTACCTTAAAATGATGTTTAAAAAATTTAAAACTGCTTTTATTCTAGCCGAAATAAAACAAGTAAGATTTTCTCTGGAAGACAAAATATTATCAGACATACTGTGAAAAATTCCTTGCTCTGCGTGGGCGCCAAAGTGCGCTGAAACATGGCACTTAGGTGCTCATGGTGACGCTAGCTTAGTTCCCAAATCGCTTCTGTCTGTAATCTCCACTATCCTATCCAAATAAAGGTAAAAAGCTACTAAAAACATTTTATTAATCTTCAATTTTCTTCTGATAATTTACGGACCACCTGGTCTCAAGATATTGATATTGACATTACTGAGGAGACATGGAAAGCGGTCTTGAACAGGGTTAACTCCTCCTCAATCTGTGCAGGTCACAGGCTAATACAATACAAGGTAGTGCATAGAGCTCATTGGTCCAAGAGCAGGCTAGCTCGCATCAATCTGTTTATTGACCCTGAGTGCGACAGGTGTCATTCTGGTACAGCTACTTTATTTCATATGTTTTGGTCCTGTCCTTCCCTGCTTTCTTTTTGGAGACAAACATTTCTCTTGCTATCAGCTATTACCACTGTTGATATCCCACCATGTCCAATTATTGGTTTATTTGGGGGTCTTCCCGCCGACCACACTTTACCCTCTCATTTTGTAGACTTTGAAGCCTTCTTAACCCTTCTGGCTAGGCGATTAATTCTTCTGAACTGGAAGAGCCCTCAACCTCCTTCTCACACTTGTTGGATAAGAAATGTTCTTTATTTTATGAAATTAGAAAAAAATTAGGTACTCTCTTCACCGAACTAGCACTATTTTTATTAAATTGTGGGAACCCCTTCGCAAATATGTCCAAACTCTTCAGCTTGACCCTGCTCCTTATGATTAAGTCCCCACCCCCTTATGCCCAGCTTTTACGGGAAACTATTTCTGGTTAACACATTGTAGACTTGTTTTCTCTGTATATAAGATTGCACTAGTGTTGTTGTTTTTTATTTATTTATCTATTTATTTGTATTATCTTATTTTTATTTATTATTATTTATTTATTTTTATTATTATTATTTGCTCAAAATACTCTTCAGCGTATTTGCTTATTGTTACATGTTCATGTCTTTGTAATTTTTTGTAACGTTTCACAATGTATAAATAAAACATTGAAAAAAAACATTTTAATAAAAAAAATGTAAACATAATTTAGGAAATACTTAAAAAATAAATAAAAGGGGGGCTAATAATTCAGATTTTAACTGTATATATCGAATATCGAACATTTTTTGACAATATCGAAATAATTTGGTTTATAAATTTCCCAGCCCTAATTACCATTGTGTATGAAATGTGCTATATAAATAAACTTGCCTTTCTTCAATTAATCCATTAAATCACATCAAGTCAAGCATTCAAAATCAGTTCTTATATTAAGGTAGCTGTAGGGAATATTATATAATTATAATAATTATAGGGAATGAACTTTATGTTAAGGAACAGCGAAAGTGAACGCTAACATGTACGCATTTGAATCGATTCTGACATTTGCGTTGAGCTTTTTGACATTACTGATGCTCATTTAACTGCTGATTCACAGTCTGTTCACTTTAACCTGTGGATTATTATCATTGACGCTGCGGCAGTCTAGCAAACACATATTAATCCTGAACTAAACCTCCTAAGCAGATTACTGATGTTTAGACGAGACCGAGGGCCATGCTGTTATTATGCAAATCTCACTGGAAGAGTGGATTGAATCCTAAGCATTTCAGCTGGAATCATTTAGTGTTTGATTGGATATCAGGAGTGTAAAAAGATAAATATCTGAGAAGAGCTTTCGTTCCTCTGGGGACTGAATTGAATCCAGACATTGAAATGCAATTATTAACTTTATCTATAGTTCTTTTGTAAACAAAAACAAGACAAAAAAGGGTATAGCTGTTCGAGAAGGTCAGTATGATGCATAACTAACACTACTGGTCAAAAAACACTTTTGTCAACAACAACAACAACAACAAAAATCTAATAACAATAAATGAACAACTAAAACTAAATGAAACTAACAAGTCACTGAAGAACAAACTGAATTAAAATAATAATTTGCAAAAATAATGATAATCATTTTCAGAATTAATAAGCACTTTTTTGTGGAAAATGTGACCTTTGGATGTTTATTAAAATACATAAGGATGTACTTTCACAGCCTAAGGGGACGATCAAACTGAACCCACTTTTGCGTAGAGAGGTGCCTTTTCTTAATGACTTTCTAAAGGCCGCAAGCGTTTTGCGAGCTGCTTATATGCCCTGCGTGCCTCAAGTTATAATCGTCTGCTGCGCCTCACATTTTTACCCTTGTGTGCCGTGCGCTTGCAGTTGAAAATAAGTTAACTCCGAGCAGAAAAAGAGCGTTACATCAGTCACGTTTTTTTCATTCTCCAATCAAATGAAAGCAAAGATGGAGTTTCCGTTTAGGTGCCTGCAGTGTTTGTGTTGTCAAGACAACCATGGAGACTTTTGAAGATGGAGGAGAGACTTGAGGTTGCTGTTTTGAGTTATCCGGTTCTGTATTTTATATCTAAATATAAATATAACATCTCAAACCTACGCACACATGTGTATTTATATATACATATTAAATATACACAGTACACTCACTTATATTATGTATATACAAATGTTAGTTTTGGATATGATTACTCATAATTATCTTTGCCCAGCGCTAATAAAAACTAAAATTAAAATTGTATCAAAATAAAAACTAATTTAAAAATGCTTAACTATAATAACTTTGATATGATGTGTTCTCATGTTAAACTGAAGTCACTTTAGATTTCTGCTGAGTGTTTCAAGTATACCTAGTAGGACCTTGATTAGCTTGTTCAGGTGTGTTTGGTTAGGGTTGGAGCTAAACTCTGCAGGACACCGGCCCTCCAGGAACTAGTTTGGTGACCCCTGGTTTAGAATATGTTGTACCTGTTTCTCCCCACACAGGCAGGTATTCATCCTGCTGGATGTCCAACATTATCTCTAGACCATTTCCCATTCCTCCCTTCGTGGTTATCAGAAGTGGCCGGCCGTCCTGTCCAGAGTTGAAGGTGTAGCATTTCCCATAGCGCGTGAAGATCTGAAAAACAAACAGACATTGGGTAAGAAATGGTGAGGTACAATTTAAAAAAATTATGTTCACTCAAACTTTTTCAAGGGGGTGGGGGGTGTGTTTCATGTTCAGTCCATTTAAATTTGTAAAAACTAACAACTCAACTTAATTCTTTTTTGTTGTCCCAACACAAATCGATTGTGTGGAACCCAGCAGGCACGTGCACACATAGGGCTCAACCTGTGCAGTGCACATGCCCTTTTTAGTCTTGGATAGAAAGTGCCCTTCCAAAATGATCAAAAGTGCCCCCGCGACGCGGCACACCTTCGGTCCCGCCCTTCAGTAGGCGCGACAACACCGCTCTTGAGTACGCTCGCGACAACACAGCTGATCAGTACGCGCGCGATAACACCGCTCTTCAGTACGCGCACCCCCTTCTTCCCTTCAACCCCCCCCTACCCAGCCCCCCCCAACACCCCCCCCCCCCCCCCCCGCTCTTCATAAAAAAATTATCCTGCACATGCCCTTTGGACGGTCTCTGCACGGGCCTGGAACCCAGCATTTTTACAGTGTACAGCAGTTGAGCTGCTTAGAGCAGATGAACAAAAGCTAAGACTGTGGGTTTGATTCCTGAAGAAGACAAAAACTGATCAAATGTGTACTTTAAACAAATTGGAAGTTGCTTTGTGCAAAACTGCTGTAAGTTTTATTGTAATTGTTAAGATAACTAAATTTAAATGTGCAAACTTGTTGCTTTAATTCAAATAAGTAATCTTTACCAGAGTGTCTACATAGTTGCAATAGTTCAATTTAAGACTTTAAGATCTTTTTAATACTATTCATTCATTCATTTTCCTTCAACTTAGTCCCTTATTTATCAGGGGTCACCACAGCAGAATGAATCACCAACTATTGCAGCATATGTTTTACCCAGAGGATGCCCTTTCAGCCACAACCCAGTACTGGCAAACTTTTAATACCAACTTATTTGAAATTTAAGACCACCAAACATGCAATGCATGACCATATACAGTATAATCTTTTACCTATTTTGATCTGTATAAACTACATTTTAAAAAATTGCGAAAAGCAGGGATATGATTCTCATTCACATACATATTTGTAGAATAGTTAAATACTAAAGCTTAAGTATTTTTTAATAATAGCCGATTCACTAAATCATAGGTTTAGATGATTAAGAATGGATCACTGAATCAATGACTCAAATGATTCATTTAGAAACAAATGAGACACAACTGTTCAGCTCTGGCTTGATTTGATTTAGTTTATTTTGAACAGAAATATCATGAATAAAATTTCTTTAACACACAAAAAAAAAAAAAATAAAATAAAACATTCTGTCATGGTCGAAATAGAGTGGGATGAAGCACAAGCTTATTATTTTCCCACCCCATTACAACACGCATTATTCATCTGTTACTTTAACTTATTTCTCCTTTCACTTCTCTTCTTTTTTACATGAGACATATTTTATCCATTTGGCATCTTTGACATATTACATGTTTGATTCCATTTGTACATTTACATTTTATAACATAGATGCATCGTATTGCAAACAGCCATTAACTGAAATGATCATACTGCTCTCATTTCATTCTTTTTCAATCACCTCTATTCATCATTATATTCCTTTAATAATATATATATATTTATACAAGTTTTTAAATTGATTAATATCCTGACATTGTTTGAGAATCTGTTCAAGACTGTTCCATAATTTCTATTTCCATGATCTTTCATTAGAGAAATAACAAATACAACAGTTTGTATACAATATACTTACTCACTATGAAAATTTAGTTAGCAGAACAGACGTAAAGCTAATAATGCAAACTACTTGCATTGCTTTGTGTTGGGACAAATATGAACATTGTTGGCTCTTGAAAATCTCACATATGTAATAAGAAACATGTTGTGAATATCTGGGAAATGTTTCTGAAAATGTAGAATGTGAATTGGTCTTTGATAAGATTATTTTAATATATTTTAATGATTATTATTTAAATTTTATTTCTTTCCCTAATCCTGTCTGAGGTATTGGGGTTTGATTTATTGTAAAACCTTGTAAAACTTAAATTCATGTTATACAATAAAGCAAACCACTAATATTAATAACAATATAAGACGAGCAGAAATCTGTTTAAAGATTCCTCATAGCTGCATTAATCATCCCAATGCTGATCAAATGGTCGTGAATAATACATAAATCCACTAATAATACAGTTAAAATGTTCAACGGGAGCACATTTCTGAAAGCCTTTGGTGCGTTTTATGGAGGCACTTCTTTTAAATGTCAACACGAGCATATTCATTAGAGTCCGAGTTAAAAGGTGCTTCAGTAAAGCACCCGGCCGCACTTCCTGCTGCTTTCAGCGTCTTACGCGGCGACTTTCAGGAAATCGTTTGATTAATTATAGAGCATTTCGTGACATGATCCACGCCAGGGCAGAAGGGCTCGTCCCTCCCGTCTTAATTGAAACTGAACTAATGGACATCTAATCTGATCACAGACCGCCGGATATGGAGAACGTGGCGTCTCAGAAACACAAGCGCTCCTCGCTGCGGGAGAAGCTGATTACCATCACAGACAAATGAGGAAATTTCAGCGGGGAGGAAATGAAACAGCCACGTTATTAGAGGAGCTGGTAACGCAATAAGAAACTGTCAGGAGCTCTCCGGGGAATCACACCTGAGAGAGAAACGCAACACGTGTCTACATTAAAGAGATAAAAATAAAGAAAAATCCTCTTCGTTTACTCATCCACAGGTCATCCAAGATGCCTTTCTTTCTTCAGTGGAACATTAATGAAGATTTTGAGCTGAATCGGTGGTCTTTGGTGATTCATATAAGGGCAGTGAACGATGATAGGTTGTTTAGATTTAAAATAAACACATATACTCGAGTCCAAATCAATAGTCATGGCTCTTGATGACACATGAGGTCTTGTGAAGAGAAACGATCTGTGTAAGAAAGCATTATTAGCCAGACCCTCTAGTTTTTCACGATTCTGTGATCGCTGAATCTAACGCAAAATCAATAAATAGTCGCAAATTTTTTTTAACGCAAAATATTTGCAAAAAAAGTAAATAATCTCATAAAACCTTCAATTCTAAACCATATAATCAATATATATTTATTTCAACTTGCAATGAACTGTTTTACATGACTTATAGACGTTACATATGCAGAGCATGTGATGCATTTGAGTGTCTCTCGAAAAATGACCTCTCACCTGTGCCCTCACCTCACAATCATTACATTACATGGGGGCAGGGCTGTTGTGCAGCCTGTGCAGTAAGCAGACAGCAAGTGATTTACATGTGAAGTCAAGGATTAGATTGGATTGTGGCGCAAATTATGCGTATTGTTTGTTTGACGTGTTTCAGACCGCAAAAAAGTTAGAGCGAACAACTAACAAACGGAGCAACAGATCTGGCAGAAAAGCAAGCAGCTTACAGTGATGGAGATTGATTCAAGGATGACGGCTGCAGGACGTGATCGAATTGAAGAACATTATTTGTGATTTACATGCATGGCTGGTATTATGGTGTTCATAAAATCGATAAGTGATTTCGTTTAACTTATTACCTGCAGTTAACGAGAGAAAACCAAAATGTTTCCCTGCAACGAGTTTTGTGGTGATCCGTGTTTTAGGTGTATTATGGTAGGGGAAGCCCTAACACATTTCTTGAGTGAGGTACTTGTCAAATGCTTTAGAGAGCGAAATCTGAGACAAAGGAAAAAAAAGAATACAGCCTTCCTTTGGCTTAATCCCTATCATTTTAGATCTTGTCTTGACATGAGACCAAAGTAAAGAAGCTTTATTTTTATAGTTTAAGTTCTTGTCATAAATGCAGCCGATGTACCAGTCTGTTGTGGTAAAGAAGGAGCTGAGCTAAAAGGCAAAGCTCTCGATTTACTGGTCAATCTACGTTCCTACTCTCACCTATGGTCATGAGCTTTAGGTCATGACTGAAAGGACAAGTTTTCAGATACAAGCAGGGTGGCAGGGCACACCCTTATGGGGTGAGGAGCTCTGTCACGCAAGAGGAGCTCAGAGTAAAGGCGCTGTTCCTCCACTCGGGAGAAGTCAGCTGAGGTGGCTCGGGGATTTGTTTCAGATGTCCCCTGGATGCCTACCTAGGGAGGTGTTCCAGGCATGTCCAACTGGGAGGAGACCTCGAGGAAGACCCAGGACATGCTAAAGAGACTATGTCCCTCGGCTGGCCTGGGAATGCTTCGGGAACCCCCCCGGAGGAGTTGGAGGAAGTGTATGGGGAAAGGGAAGTCTGGGGTTCTTTTCTAAGACTGCTGCCCCCGCGACCCAGCCCCAGGGAAGCGGTAGAAAATGAATGAATAATGAAAATATATTTTAATCGCAAAATTGTCCGCACATTTCTAGGGAATTACCACCACAAATTCAGTCATTTTTATCGTAAAAAAAAAAAAAAAAAAAAAAATTCACACAAAAATTACGAAAAACTAGTGGGTCTGATTAGCATTAATCCACAGCCTGGTTAATTTTTGGCGTATATATGAACGCAGTCCAATTGTAGTCCTGTTGCTTTAAAGTTACTAATGCGCGAAGGCTGGTATCTACCAACCAAATGTCACCTGACCTCCCGTCCAAACATACTCTCGCACATTTGTCATCAAAGCTACCAGATTACATTTGCACATGCAGACTTTGGTTTAAAGCTAATAATACTGTACATTTCTTACACAGACCAATCATTTTGTTTCAGTGTGTCATCAGGAGACATGGCTATTGATTTGGACACATTTGTACGTGCTTTTTTAGTCTAAAAAGACTGTTACCATTCACTGCTATTATATGAATCACCAAGGACCACGGATTCAGCTCAAAATCTTCATTAATGTTCTACTGAAGAAAGAAAGGCAACAACATCTTAAGTGACGTGGGTGAGTACATTTTCCCCTTTTTACAAAATGTCAAAGAAGTCTCTGATGTTTTTAGTGTGTATGTAAAGTTTCAGCTTAAAAT